TGATTTTGTTTGCCACCATTAAGCTCTATAAATTCTTTATTCCTGTTTTAAATCACTTTATTCCTTATATAACCTAATTCTATTTTTACTTAAAATTGAAGTATTCACTATATGTTTATTTGTTCACAGATTTACGACGCTGGGGAATATTTCATGCTTAACCAAGTACAGGAGGTCGATCCAGATAATGAAGAGGTCACTGCCCGTTGGCAGGCCACTGTAATATCTAAAAATCTTAGTTCAAAAAAGTAGGCGGTATCAATGCCTATTTTTATTATCAGTATCTTTCTTATTGATCATGCCTGGAGCTTCCAATTAAATTCGGTCAAGGAACATTTGTCTAGTATGCCTCAGCTTCGTGAGCGGATAGCCAGACTAATAGGGCTGACCACTGATAACATGACAAAGGAAGAGGTGATAATCTCAATTCTTAACGGCATGTGGAAGTACAAATTTGTTGGCCTTAATTATTTTGTTTTTCCATAGATTCATACGTCATTATAGTATTAGTATTCCATCCACCGAACACAAAGATTCGATTCCTATCAAAACATCCGTTTGGTACTTTCTGGACGAGTTCGGCTTACGTATTCAACATTCTGATCGCCCAAATGGTGAGCTAAGTATACTAAACCTGTTGTTCTATTGTAATCATTTTTAGAATATTATATGGCTTAATTTAAAGCTAAGGCGATTCCTTTACACATTATGGGCAATTTTAGAATAATAGTTCTTAAGTTAGAATCAGCCTCTTGCTATATCCTCTCTAATCTGCAACCATTTAGAGCCAACACTGAGAGGAATCCAAGGACATCGAGAGGCTCACCTGAATTTCTTGGGGGAAAACCACTATTGGTTCTTAAACCTACGAATTACTGATAGCCTCAAAGCATACTCATATAAGTTAAGTGTGTTGTGGAAGTAGTTAAGCCTCATTTTTGCCTCTTGGTTGTGTTGTTAGCTTGAGGAAGCTGAGTCAAGCTAATTTTAACATTTTTAAAACTTTTTTAAATGTTTATTTTACTGAAATAAAATTTTTAGTTTTTATTTAATTCCAACTCGCTTTTACTGCACATCTTTGGAGTATGGCAAGCTATACTTATGCTATATCATATTTTATAATTTAATCCTAATGTTGCTTTTGTTTTTCTTCGTATGCCCAAATACCCTTTTATTGTTATTCTGCTTAACTAACCATAAATCGCTTAAGAGTAGCTTACATTTTCCTAAGGGTCACTGACTAGCATACTTTACCATTCTATCAATAATATTCAATATCTTTTCATCCTACCATAACGCACCCAGCTCGAATGGTTCCTTTGTTATACGCTCCAAGACGCATTTGCTATTCGATTATGTGGCCAACCTCCGATCTGGTGTACGATGGTACGAATGTCTTTATTTTTTGCTATCCATTTTTTTTGCTTTCCTTTATTGAATCCTACCAGATGGTATTATCTGAAACTACCTGCGATCTTCATAAGATTACTTAAATGGTTAAGCATTTCTAGGTCCTTGTATTTTGTGTTGAGCGAACACTTTTGCACATTTTTCTGACTCCCTTAACATTACATCCAAATAATGTTATTGGATTAAAGTTTATTTCACTGTCCTGGTTTTCTTTTTATTTTTTATTTAACTTTTATTCAATTTTAGGGCCTTGTTGAGGGAAGATTTCTAACCTTGTTAGTTTGTTCTTATGCTTTACAGTGATTTCGTTCCTTTTGTCTTGTGTCTTGTTTATTTACCTGTGTATTATTACCGAGTTAGAAATATTGTGACATTGATCCTAGACGCTTTTTCTCATCTTTTGACATTTTTATTGCTTATAAGTCAGAATTTGTGATATATTTTCACTGATATACTTTGATTTAATCAGTTTCCTTACTTTTACAGATGAACTTACGGTAGATTTTATCTCATCTATTACCGAGCCGGAACTACGTTCCTACCACCTTCTACCATGGCAGCATCAGGACTTTTCACATAAGAAGATCGAACGCAGTTACTTGTTTACAGAAGCTTCCTTCCAGGTTCTCCTTTTCATATATTTTACTATATTATCATATATATATATATATATATCCCTGCATTATAGGTAAGGTATTTGTATTT